AGAATGAGTGATAAATAATGAAAAACATAATAAATAAAAGTATAAATATTTTTTCAAGGTTCCTTGGAAAATAATTTTTGAGACAGGGTTTTACTTTGTAGACCAGGCTGGCCTTGAACTCACAAATATCTGATTACTCTGCCTCCTGAATACTAGGATTAAAGGTGTGCACCACCTCACCCAGCTATTCCTTGGAATCTTAGAATACTGAGGGAGCATGTCTATACCACTTTAGATCAGTGGTTCTCACCTTCCTGATGCTGCGACCCTTTAATACAATTCCTAATGTTGTGGTGACCCCCAACCATAAAATTATTTTGTTGCTACTTTTTAACTAATTTCACTACTGTTATGACTCATAATGTAAATATCTGATGTGCATGATATTTGACATGTGACCCCTGCGAAAGGGTTGTGACCCACAGGTTGAGAACCACTGCTTTAGATACAGTGTGCAATTTTAAAAATTTCCTTTTTTTTTTTTTTTTACTTTTCGAGGAAATAAGACTCCCTTTTTGAAAATTATGCATTGCTCTTAGATTTTAAATTCATGCTCTGATGTATAAATAGATTATAATTGACCTTGTTAATATGTTAATCCAATTCATGACGATCAGGATGCTGTTGACTTACCGCCTATCACACCACCACCTTTCTTCTGAACTGTGATTGAATCCAAAATTGGCTCTTTTCCCTCCCAAGAGAAGATACTGAGGGCTTTCTGTTTCTTTAGTCTGGTACTGGCAGTTGATCCTGGGTCCCCATGCATGCTAGACAAGTGCTGCACCACTGAGCTGCATCCCTGGCCCTTTATCCCTTTGTTTATTTCCAACAACTCATTAAGCAACATCTTCTAATTCATCAAAATTCTAGGAGAGATTTTTTTAAGCCATGACCTCAAATCAGAAACTATGTGTCTTAGTTTTCTATTGCCATAGTAAATCACTATGGCCAAGAGAACTTATAAAAGAAAACATGTATTGAACGCTCACACCAGAGGGTTGAGGTCATCACGATGGGGAGCGTGGCAGCAGGCAGGCAGGCAGGCATGGTGTTGAGGCAGTAGCTGTGAGCTCACATCTCAATCTGCAAGTAGGAGGCAGAGAGAGAGACACTGGGGATGGAGGAGTCTTTTGAAACCTCACATCTGGCCCCCAGTGACACACCTCCTCCAACAAGGCCACACCTCTTAATCCTTCCCAAACAGTTCCACCAACTGGGAACCAAACACTCAAATATATGAGCCAATGTGGGCCGTTCTCACTCAAACCACCACACCACATCTATGAACTATTTAGTGCTTCCAACCGCATAAGTTGGGCGGTGTTGTTTTGAGAATACAAACACAGAAATAGACCATGTAGAACAACATAGTCCATAGGGAAAAATTTAATAAAATTCTTAAGTCAATCTCAAGAAATGTGCAAGATCCCATAGATGAAGACAAACCCAATCACACACAGCTTCCCCCTTAGAGTAATTTTTGAAGCATCAAAAGGCCAACCAACCTGGACTGCTGGGAGGCAAAGAGGGGCTGTGTGCAAGGTCAGAGACAATCCTGCCCAACGGTGCTTATGAAGACCTGGCCTGTGTACATTCTCAACTCCTAAAGCCCAACCAGGGTGGAAACTTTCCCTCTGAGCATATAAGCAGTGCTGCATGGCTCTGTCTTCAAAGAGACAGAGTTTAGCCTAACATGATTGCACATTGATAAAGGGAGAAATTCAGATGCTAGAGCCCCCCACAGTGTGCAGACACATGTGGGAAGGCCTGCCTGCTGCCCCCATTTTCATGTGTGCAGGCAGGATGTTACCTGTGATTTGTCTCTCCAAGGGCCCTGGTCAATATACATACCAATCAACAACACCTATCATCAATATACATGCCAGGCAGCAAACACAACCTTAAGTTTTCATTATCAGCAGAGTTCCAGGGGTTGGTCTGCCAGTTTCCAATGTTCCTGGGGATTAATTTCCTACAGGTCTTGCCATTCAGCATCACGGCAAGAGTCACGAGTGCAGAGTGCTTCACATCCTAGATCTGAAAAGAATGCAGCATCTGTGTGGGTCTGCCGGCAATCACGTGTCCGCGAGCCCAGTGAGTGCTGGAAATGCCAGACAGTAATGAAAACTGAACTTTCAAAGCTAGCTAACGCGGTGAAAGGCAGCTGAGACTACTCCACCAACTCTAAACCTGTCCTGGGACAGTCTACCAACCATCCGGTTAACTGTCAATTTGGGGACATCTAACTCTATTGTCTCCCTGAAATGGCACCCTTTAAAAGAAATATTAATATATTAAGTAGATAAAGGCCATATGGCCATTAGAGATTTTTTAATTGTTTTTATTTCTCTGTCTCTGTCTCTGTCTCTCTCTCTCTCTCTCTCTCTGTGTGTGTGTGTGTGTGTGTGTAGGTGCCCACAAAGGCCAGAAGAGGGCAGCAGATCCCTTGGAGCTGGAGTTAGAAGCAGTTGTGAACATCCCGTTGCCGGTGTTGAGAACCTTACTCAGGTCCCCTGAATAAGCATCAAGTGCCCTTCACCACTGTATCACCCCTCCATCACCCACGGGAGACTTTAGAAGTGGAAAACGGTGGAACGTCTAGTCCTGTCTTGCTGGAAGACTTCCATTTGGCACCAAGCACTGTTTCTAACAGCTGCACCCCGCTCCTGAAGACCCGTGTCTGTAGCTGGCCTAATCTTCGCATGGCAAGCACCGTGTGGTTGCTCCTCAAGTTCAAATTCCCGTGAAAATCAAACCAAAAGAGAAAAAGGGAAAGAAAGCTTGTCTCTTTTAAAGTCATCCCTGTTCTCATAGTTCCTAAGCAAAGCAAAGCGTTCGGCCCACCCACCCCCGTCCTACCCCACCCACGTCCTTTTACATATCAAAAGTGGAAACCAGACACGTGCTGTTTCTGAAAGAGCTCATAGTTTGTGGCACGGATTCTAAAAATTTGGGTCACTGATCTCTTTTGAATTTTAATGAGAGTGAAAACTCATCCTAGGAAAACGAATACATACATATAAATCTTCAATATAGATTCTTGGGGAGTTGATCATCACCTGTTTCCTGTCTTTGAAGTCCATTAGCAAATGAAATGTTTGTGTTCTACTAAAATTCATATGCTAACACAGAAATAGCAGTATCTGGAGGTGGCCCTTCTGGAAAGGAATTAAGGGCTAGCTTAGACCATAAAGCGGGGCCTTTGGCCTTATATGGAAAAAATGGGGGGCGGGTAAAGGAAGAGGGGGAGATTGGAAGGGAGGGAGCTCATGAGAAGCTAGAACATGCCTGACTCCCTGGGAAAAGTCAAACAGAAGCCGTGCACGAGGCACCCACTTCTACCGCTGCTTCTCTGCGCCTTTCCCAATCCTGTTGTGCTGCGTTACACTGTATCCATAGATATAATGGGTTTCCGGCAGTTGTGTGAATCCTTCTAATGAGTGACCAAAACGCAGGGTTGTTTGGGTGAGCCTCAGCCTTGAAACTGGAAGCAGAAATTAGGGTGGTATGGAAGCGTCCTGTGTTTTGTGTTAGAAGTGAAGGAGCCTTCCTAACCCTGAACTCGTCAACACCTTTAAGCTCCTGGCTACATGACACTATTATTTAAAATGGTGACATGTGGGCTTCCCGGGACAATTAGGACAATAACTGTGTTTGAAATTAGTAAATAAAGGGAAATAGAAGTGTTTACTTTGTCTTACCTATACAAACCATAGCACCAGGAAATCAAACACTGGATTAGAGCACGTGAACCATTTTACAAGTAATTCAAGCAAGAAAGCGAAGCCGCATTGGCAGAAACAGAAGGTTGCCACTTTGCAAGCCTTCGTGCATTGATAGACCTGGGCACTGTATATCTACAGTGCCTGAAATACATAAAGAGGAGCAAGCAGCTTTTCCCAGTGGAGGAAGATGAGCAGTGCTGTTCCTAGACACGAATCCTGAGTCTAGACAAGTATCTGGATCCAGCTGCCAATGCCCAGGAAATAGCAGAGTACTGTGCACTCCCTGAGACAAGTCTGTTCATTTTCTGGTGTTTCCTTCTCTGTCAGGAGGACAGCTAAGAGTCACTGTGGTTCATTTTCACTCCCGTATGTGAGCCCTGGAAAAGGAAGAAACAACCGGTTGGAAGGAACGGAAGTCTCTGTATGGCTGCTTTGGGAAGGGAGACCGCTAACGGACTGCAGCGTGTTTTGACTGTGTCTCCCACAATGTTTATGTTCGAACCTCCATTCCCACATTAATTATGTTCATCACTGTGACCAGAGTGCCAGACAGAAACAACTGGCTGAAGGAAGATTTGTTTAACCTCCAGGTTTCTGAGGACCCAGCCATGGTTATCTGCTCCCCATGTTTGATCAGGACATCACAGAAGCATAAGTGTAAGGCAGAGGAGTGTCACCTCTCTTTTCACTTCATCATCTACCAGAGGGGACAGAGACAATATTCCCCATAGGACCTGACCATTGTGGTCCACCTCCACCAACTCAGTCTTGCTTCCTAAGGTATCCACAATTTCCCAAAATAGCATCACCAGCTAGGGACTGACCATTCAAATTGGGGACCTGTTGTGGATGGTGGTGGTTGACAACTTTACATGTTCAAACTATGACAATTCATAGTGCAGAAGAATTGATATGTGGAGCCCAGAGGGTCCTGAGGATGGATCCTTCCTGTCCTCAGGGAAGTGAGTTCATTTTCACCAAAGTGGGTTTTCTACAAAGCACGGTGGAGCTTCTTCAGTGCTCTCTCTCTCTCTCTCTCTCTCTCTCTCTCTCTCTCTCTCTCTCTCTCTCTCCTTTTTTGTCCTTTCACTAAGTTAGGGAGCAGTGACAAGGCTTCCCAAAAGCAAGGAAACAGTAGAGTCATACTCTGAGACTCCAGCATCCAGAACCATTAGTCAAACACATCTGGGTTCTCCCTAAATTACCTGTAGTTTTCTGTGATTGCCACAGAAAACAGACAGGCACAGACTATGCACCTGTAACTTTTTAAAAAAGATTTATTTATTATGTACACAGTGTTCTGTCTGCATGTATCCCTGCAGGCCAGAAGAGGACATCAAATCTCATGACAGATGGTTGTGAGCCACCGTGTGGTTGCTGGGAGTTGAACTCTGGTCTTCTGAAAGATCAGACAATGCTCTTAACCCCTGAGCCATCTCTCCAACTTCCCAGCTCCCTTTCTTATACAGCCCAGGCCCACCTTCCCAGGGATGGTATTGTCCACAGTGGCCTGGGCCCGCCCATTTCTGATCAGCGATCAAGAAAATGCCACGCAGGTATTCACAGGCGATATGACGGAGATGATTCCCCAGCTGAAATTCCTTCTTCCCAAATATATGTCAGCTTGATAAAAAACGGTGATGCTAGTCATGTAAGTAAGCAAAAGGAGCAAATAGAAAGATAACTAAAATTCCTTTTAAAGAGACATCTGGATTCATGAAGAAGCACCTTCAAACCATTCATCTTACGGGTGATTTCATGTTAACCTCTGCAGACACACATCTATGGGTTTTCTTTCTTCTATCACCCTCTAAGGCAGTAGTTCCCAGCCTTCCTGGTGCTGTGACCCTCTAATACAGTTCCTCACGATGTGGTGACCCCCAACCATAAAATTACTTTGTTACTACTTCATAACTATAATTTTGCTACTGTTATGAATTATAATGTAAATATCTGATATGCAGGATACCTGATATGTGACCCCAAAGTGGTCACAACCCTCAGGTTGAGACCCATTGGTCTAAGGAGACCAGAGCCACGATCATCAGCTTTGGTGAGTAATTGCTCCAAGTCTTCCTCGAGAAAGGCGAGGGCCGTCATCCTAGTCTATGATTTTGGCTGTGTTCCCCGTCACATGTCACAGCAGTAGCTGCCTTTGGGATATCTATTCTTTTTGTTCACAGAAGAGCCTCTTTATTGGAGATTCTGAATAATTGCATATTACTCTTCCCTTTCCTTCACATAATATGAAAATGGCTAATTTTCATTTTCTCTGTAGTAATTGCCTGGATACTTCAAGCCTGTGTCTGGTCTCTCTAAAGTCTGTATCTGGTTTCCCATGGCGTAAATCAGGAAATATACAGAAGCAGAGATAAGTAGGTGAGGTTAACAGAAGTGTGTATTTCAGGCTTGTCTCCGAATGTCTCCTCATGAACTCAGTTCTCTTCTCTGACACCGATGCACACCTTTACGTGCTGTGACTTTTCTGGCGCCATTTATTCAACGTGCTGTAGCACCAGAGTGCTCTCCAAGTCATCCCAGACAGAACCATGCAGTCTTATTTCAGCCAGAAGAGAGCTGTCTACCACTAATTGTTTAAAGAGAGTGTGTGCTGTTGCTTATTTTTAATTCTAAAACTTCATTGCTTCACATTTGCACATCTGAGTATATTTTCCCCCCATCAGATTACACCTATGTGCTGGGGTGATTCCTGTCTGCAAGGTGAATTGGTTTTCCTAGAGCAGTGAGGAAGCCCAGCGAGCGGGCTGGAAGCAGCACGTCAGGGTATGGTTGCCTCATAGGTCCTGTCTTTGCTTGACTTTTCATCTACAGACACAAATCCCATAAGCACAGCAAGGGACAGCAGATGCTTGTGCCCATAACTCTGGCTGGTGACGCTGGAGAGGAGGAAGCCTGCCGCAGAAGGCCGGACAGCCACAGTCCTGGGGCCGAGTTGACAGCTGACAGCCAGCTGACCCGACCCAGCAGCAGCCTTTCTGGTTCCCACAGGCTACCATGTGGGGCTCAATTAGGTCAGTCTTTTTGTTCAAATTAATGTCCTCTGAACGGGGTGAGAAAAGTGTATTCGGTACGTTTGCGCTTGGTTCTAGGAGTGAGATGAATTTATTTACAGATCTATCTGGCTATCGCTGATCCCATTTGATAACATCCACAAAGTAGCTTGTGTAGCTTTGCTATCTCTGTATGGTCTTATTATCTCATTTCTTCCAACCCATAACTCCCTGGGGTGAGACAGCATCTGCTCCTGCAAGAGAGAGAGAGAGCTGCAGCCTTTGCCTTGTTTTTTTTTTTTTTTTTCTGGGCTTTGGACTCCAGGGAGATTAATTTGCCTTCATTCTCTTGGAGTTCCCCAGACTTCTGCACAGAAACTTAGAGACAGACCATTGTAATGCTGTTTGCTATATTCTTGTGAAAGAAATTTAAAAAAAAAAAAAAAAAAGCAGAGGCCTAAGAGGAGGTATTGAGAAGGGATAGGAGAGACTGGGATGTGGCTCACTGTAGTGTGTTTGCCTGATATCTATGATCCCTGAAAGAGAAAGTAAACAGGAAAAAAATTACCAAGTGGGAGTTGATTCCCACATATACTAACAATTTTTTTTCTCTCCCAAATATTTAGACTACTTACTACTAACATGTTAGCACTGTGGTTTCTTAGACCAAGACTAAGTTAGATCTCAAGCATTTAGATTTAGTATTCAGTCCATAGCTCGTTAACAGCGCGGAAAGTGTTGACGTAATGCTCTAGAGATTTTGCCGTTGTCCCAAAGCTCGGGAGCAGGCATGCAATATGGGCCAATTAGTTTCTAAATTTCTTAATGCATGTCAGCACTGTAGTCCGTTAGTGTGGAGAAATGAACTTCCTGTTTTACGATAAAACTGTATTGGATGTCCCCCTAACCCCGGAGAGGATGGGGAACAGGAAGAACAAGGGAAGAGAGAAAAATGAGGCTGTCAGAACACAGTACAAGTCCTGCTTTGAAAGGGGGGTTCGAACCTCATGTGGGATGCAAGCAAAGAAGCAGATGTGAGCACCTGGCAGTAGAAATAGGTGCCCTATCTCATGTATGAGTATCTCTGTGAACCACACACATGCAATGTCTGCAGAGGGCATTAGAACCCCCAGGAACTGGAGTCACAGACAGTTGTGAGCCCCCCCCACACACACACATACTGTGGGTGCTAGGAACTGAACCCAGGTCCTCTGCAAGAGCAGCCAGTGCTCTTAACCTCTAAGCCATAGTTCCAGCCCTGCAGTGACACATACACAGACCAGGACCTAGGGCTTTACTAGGGAGTTAGATGAGTAGCTAGGTTGTTGTTGTTTTGTTTGTTTTTTCTGTCATGTTTCTACTTCCCAATCAAGAAGTAAATAGGCCACCAGCCAATCGGAATGCTTCTGAGTGCCTTGCATATCTGAGAAAGCTTTACAACTCCAGGCGCAGTGGGGGATGCATGGTCAGGAGACCCAGCCCTCGGCTCCAGCACTCACTCAGAAGTCAAAGCCTTGAGCTCCACCCAAACCTCTCCAGTTCCTGGGAGAGACTTGGGAAAACTGCTTGCGTTCTGTGAGGTTTGAAACCTTACAGTGGTCGCTTCCCTTGATCCGATACAGGAGATGAAATGGGTTTAAATCAGGCCTACTACCGACATCACACGCTATGCAGGGTTAGGGAAACCCTGGAGGAGCGCCAGATTTACTCCTTAATAAACCACCTGTCTCAAAGCGAGCTCCCGGGCCGTCTCTGTTCTGTCCCGTGGCTGTTCAGCTGCGCTGCGCTACCCGCCACGTCCCTATCGCTTAGCGACGGCCCCTGTTCGACACTGCACATATTCCGGGCCCGCCATCACTGGACCCAGAGCCTTTCTTTGGTCTCGGTTCTCTGGGTCAGGTACTTGGCTTCTTTCCTGACACTAATTGTCACCTCCTTTCATTAGGGGCACCCCACCCCACCCCCAGGCTGGGCACTCTCTGAAGACTGAGACACATTTGAATCCTTGCCCCGTGGGAGGTAAGTCACTGGCGCTTGGGTGGATGCCAGCACATAAATCATAATTTCTGCCCACAGTGGATAAAGTTGTAACACACTCTACGGATCTATGTGGGTTTTATTGAACGCTATCAACTCAATACATTTTATGACCGTTTTATTGAGAGATAACTCACCCATCACCTAAAATTCACCACTTAAAATGTACAATCTAGGGGCCTTACAACACAGTCAAGAATCAGGTGTCCAGGGCCACTGGGAAAAAAAAAAATGGAGCGTGCTCATGCCTCTCCCAGATAAAGCCTATTCACTAGCAAGCATTCCCAATTCCGTGCCCACCCCCCGCCCCCGGCAACCTCTGATCTACTTCGATCGCTGTGGAGTTTCAATTAACCGCTCGCTGGACAGTACATCCTACGTTAGAACAATCTCCGTGCGACTAAGTCTAAAGCAGAACCACCAGCTCAATGACCTTGGCCGGGCAGGTTGTTTAAGTTGCCTTAGCTTCTTCATAGGACGAAGGAGAAGAGGTGTGTGAGAGCAATTTCAAGTTTTGTCTAAAAGGCAAGCCAGCAAAACCGCCCAGCCCCCAGCCCTCTAGCTACGATTTCAATATTCCGCCCTAGGGAGCCCGTCCCACGGAGCCACGGCCCTCGCCCTGGAGAAGACGCTTCCTCTCTCGCCTTTCTTTGGAGCTGTCTATTTCTGGGTTGGCAAAGCAGAAGCTCCTGGTGCCCGCAGGAAGCCTCGCCCAGCTTGGGTCCCCACCCTCCAGCGCGCCCCTGGAGAGGGCCTGCCCCCGAGGGGCGGGGCCAGCCACTCTCACAGCCAATGAAGCGGCGACTGGGCCGGCGCCGGGGGCGGGGCTGCACTTGACAGTGGCGGTCGCCGGGCAGCCGAGCGGGCGCAGCGGCGGAGCGCGGCGCGGCAGGGCAGCGGGGAGGGCGCAATTCGGCGGCCCCGGGTGGAGCAGCTGGCGGCGGCAGTGCGATGCTGCGGGCGTCCCCGGGCTCTGGCATCGCGGCCTCTTCCTAAGGTACCAGCTCTGCTCAACCTTCCACCCTCCCACCACCCCCTCGCCCCGGGAGACCCGCGCGCCTGGGCAGTGGCTTTGTGGAGCCGGTGGGTGGGGCTGGGCGGGGCCGCACCGTCGGGTCGCTTCCCTCCGAGGAAGAGGTGGGGGAGGAGGGCCGTCTCGCCAGCAGCTGACGGCATCCCCACGCTACGTGCTCCTCCTGCCTCGTGGTGTTTTCAAGGAGGGTTTGCTCCCGGACAAAGTTAGGTGCGGAGAGTTTGATGGATCCCCTGGTCCCCGAGGCTCTGGAGGGACCCGTGGCACACTGCCCTGTACACCTACTCTCCATGCGCTGAGCTGGAGCGCAGCGGACCCGTGCGCTTTCCCACACGAGCAGCCCTGCTCACTTGGAAGGCTGCAAAAGGAAATTGCTCTGTGGGACTCTCCCCGGGGGAGGAGGCTTTCTGCAGTCGCATCTACAGTTCAACCTGGTTGGTGGCTTTTGCTTGGCCACAGTGCCCCAGGATAAACCGGGTTTAACCAGTGGCCTGTAAAAATAGTCTCCATCAAGACCTATGCTTTAAAGGCTTCACATTTTAAACCAATTTTTACTTTCTAATCAAAGATCCCAGAGTCACTGAGCAAAACCGGCCAGCTAAGTGTGATGCGTTTAACATTGTATTGCTCATTGGTTCGCATTGGCTTGTCTTTAATGTTGGGACAGGTGTTGTGAAACGGGAAAAAAAAAGTGATAAAGTTTTGATTCACTTCTCAGGGTGAGAAAGGAAAACAAAGAATACAGAATACGTATGTCCATTTGAACATAGCCAAAAGTTTCAACTATCAAAGTAAGATGGATAGGGTAAACATTATTTACAAGACTCTGTGACGTAGAATAATGATGGCAGTTAGACTCGACTGTACCTGTGCTGATTAAGAGAGATGGAGAGATGGCTCAGTGGTTAAGAGCACTGAAGGCTCTTGCAGAGAACCTGGGTTTGATTCCCAGCACCCACATAGCCGCTCCCAACCATCTGTAACTGCAGCTCTAGGGGATCCGACGCCCTCTTCTGACCTGCATGAGTACTGCATGACATTGGTGCCTATACATGTAGGCAAAACATCCATTCACGTAAAATAAGAACTACTATATATTTTTTTAAAAGACACTTAAAAAATGACGTAGCCAGGACTGTAGGAACAGGCCTATGATAAGATGGCTGGGCAGCACTAGGAACATTAGGCTACTGCTTGGTTTTGCAATTAGTAGATTTTAACAAATATGTCTAATTCTGATTATAACACTTTCCTGACCACACACAGATTTTCACATTTACACTCTTCTTATCACAACACTTTCAGACTGTAAGACACCAGGAACATCTTGTTCTGGTCCTTATAATTTACCCCTACATCCCAACACCTTATGTCTTGCAAAAGCTCCTTTAAGGAAGTTTCCTTAGTAGTGTGTCAGGCACTCACTAGGTGTATTTTTTTGTTGTTCTTTAGCACTCTAATGTAGCATCATTTCCTTTCCTGTGTTGTCTTCCTACCTAGCTCAGGCTGCTCTTGAACTCCCTCTGGTCCCCCTGCCTTCTCCTAAGGGGTAGAATTACAGGCATCTGTCACCATATCCAGCTGACTTGATTTTATTTTGGATAATTTCTGGAAAAAAAAAAAAAACACATGGCAAGTGAGTGATCCGGGCAGGGCTTGAACCTGGGTCTGCTTGACTCCCTGCCACTGTTCTGTGATGTCTCCCAGTTTGTGAGAGTCGGGTGCCTCGTTAGAATACAGTGGGGAACTGAAATGTGTGTCATCTCCTGGCTGACACATCAGACTTCTTCATAGAGTATTTTTTCTCTCTGAGCTACTGGGTGCCCTGAGTATGGAAATGCAACCTAGGTCTCCCCTCCTCACACACACACCCCAACTCCATCCTGTAGTTCTGATTTGGGGTGTCTAGGTATGTGAAGCCTTTGCCTTCTCAAGCATCCCTCCCCACTTGCTTGGTGCTTAAGGAGCAATCTCCACTCCCTCTGTCATCTGAGGCTATTTTAGTTCCGCACATGGGAGCACACCTTGCTGATTGGCAGCAACACGTCCCCTGCAGTGTTCCCAATGACTCACGTGGCCCACTGTCCCACCTGTCAGAGAATTCCTAACAGAGGCTGGCGTACTTAAAAGGAAAGAAATGAACTGGGGGCTGGGGGGAGAAATATTAATACAGGGACTCCCCGAATTCCCTAGTACTGACCAAAAAGGAATGATGTGGTGCTCTAGGGATGGGAAGCAAGCCTTCCCTCTACAGTGGGACATGCCTCATTGACGTGATGGTCTATTGTCAACACTGCTGAAATATGCCTGCCCTGCAGACACGGCTTTACCCGTTGTCTCGGCCATGAATGTGGTAACACACCTCTTCCTCATTTGATACGTGCTTTTACACCCAGGCACTTGTCATTTGACGGAGCAGCTGTGGCCCGGTACGTTCTGAAGCTGTGCCTGAGAAAATGAAGTCTCTGATTATTTACAGCAATGATTATGGAATTTCTTTTCCCAAGGCTGTGTGTGTGCGTGCGTGTGTGTGCGCGCGCGCGTTCTTGGCGTGGTTTTCAACTCTCTTTGGTTCAGAATGGTTTCACAGCACTAAGTTTAAAAGGGAAAAAAGTTGAAAGTGCAGTTTTGAGCCTGCTACCTGGGAACATCCCTCCTCGTTGACCCTAAGTATTTAGACTCTGGAAGTCTGTGTGTACACTGTGCAATGGCTTCACCCCACCCTCCCCAGCAGCAGTAAGGTTTGCGTGTCTCACACAGCCCCATATCCCCATCTCCTGCTTCTAACCTGGAGCATCGAATACCAGGGAAAGTAGAACATGCAGTTCGGCTGTTGTCACACAGAATGGAAGGCGCACCAAAAACATGTTTGGACTAAGTGTCGGAATGATTAGTGACCTGTGAGACTATGTGGAATTAGCGACATTTTTCAGTTTCCTAGAAGAATCCCGTGCAAAGATGTCATGAACTTACAAGCATCTCAAACCAACAGCCTTTCACTCGATCCCATAAACGTCTCAGTAAACAACAATCCATCTTGCTTTATTATTTTTTTTATCATATTTCACCACCTCTAAAATATCATCAGCTGGGAGACTTGGTGTTATTTTTATGCCATATGAGAAAGTGAAAATCTGGACAGTTTTATGGCATGCCGCTCCTGACACTGTATGTCTAGAGCACAGCAGTTACCTGTGGTTTGGAGTCTCATGCCAT